GACTACAATACCACACCCAGCTCCATGTCTGAGATCATGCTCCATGTGATCATGCTACTGGAAGGAAGAGGAAAGATGTGCTCAATGGCAGCTGTCAGTGTTGATGTCAATGAAAGGTGATGAATTCTTCCCCTGCATTAGTCTAAAGAAGCTATCCAAGGTGTTGAAGCCACTAGGGGATCCTGTTAACTAGAATGCTTATATGCTTTTGGATGTGATGATTCAGTAACCAAGAGTTGTAAATAATTTGACAGATTAATTGTTGGTAAAAAGCATACAAGAAGGAAACAAGGTATTTTATTTTCAAACATTTAATCAGCTGTTCCTTAACTGTATGCATGCTTTTTAATGTTAACCCTCTTTACTCTTTCAAAACCTGAGAAGTATAAGGATGTTACTCATTTAATCAAAGAGACACAGAGCATACACCTAGAAGAAAATACATCTAAGTTCTAACAAGGATATAACCATTAGCAGAACAATCAGTCTAAAAAGCAGACAAGGACAAAAGTAAAAACAGATTCTTTAAACAATCTAAGACTCATGGAAAAAATAATTTCATTGCATAGCTATCATCTGGCTTTTTTCACCACTTGAGACATTACATGTGCACAACAAGGTGATCTGAAAATAAAAACAAACTCCTATGAAAGGAAAAGAACAATATCAGTATAAAAAGCCTTATTACCTTCTTTAAAAAATAAAGTTTAAATTCATTAATAACACTGATAACTTAATGCAACTGGTATGATCAATTTTGGTCAGTAAGTAAGTTTGCACTTGTTAAGCATAAGCTCCGAAGTAGAATTTTTTGAATAGACTCTCCAAAAAGGACTGGAGAAACGTCAAAGAAGTGCCCCCAAATCTCATTCTAGCTAGATGGTTCAAAAGAATACCATGGTCAATAGTACTGAATGCCATGGAGAGGTTCAAAAGAATGAACAGGGGCACATTTCCCTCTTCCAGATTCCAAGCCAGATTGCAGCCACTGGGGTGATCAAAGCAGTCTCTGCTCCAAAACAAACTATGAAGCCAGACTATACCTCACCCATGAGTGTCCTTACAGCAGACTCCAATTCTCAGGCAAGCACACATAGGAAGAATGAAGCGCTCCTTCAAGAATATAGGTCCTAACTTATTTAGGACTTTAAATATTGTCACAAAAACCTTGGATTCACACCAATAGTGCATTGACAGCCTATGATTACTTCTTACTGAGTTTTAAATGTCTTGTTGTAATATATTCAAGCTGACTTATTAAAATAATGGTATGCTTTAATTGATACTTATTTTTTTTCACTTTATTGCTGTTTCCTTAAGTATTCTTTTCAGTGGAAAGGTGAGATATAAATTAAATAAACACATTAAATATAATGAATCAAGGGCAGGCTAGTTTAGTTGCTGGGCTTGTTGGGATTATTCAACCATAATCGGAACACTCCACAAAGTCATTTATAATAATAATAATAATAATAA